GAATTTATGATCTCACTTGAAAGAATATGAGTCTAATGAATAATGTGTCTCTTAAAGAGATATACCACTGAATATTCGGATAGTTTGCTTTAATAAAAATAATAAGGCCTAAGGTTGATTGTTTTAATTATAGATAACCAAATCGTAGTAAGTAATGTTAAGGTAAAATTTGCATTTTTTGTGCCTTCACATTTAACGATTACGATTATATAAACGACTGCCCAAGTATGAAAAATGGCAGACAAAAAAACCAATAAATTCCTACTTACACCTAAAAACCGATTTTGTCTCATAACCCTCCTATAATCAACATATTTGGATCGAGTTTCGCGCGTGATACGTTGCGCGAGAAACCAACCCTCTAGAAAGTGTGCTGCACCGTGGTATAGGTAAAAGCGATCAAATTGTGATTGCCCTGCAACAGTAGTATTAATATCTTTGCCTAAAAATAATACAATATTGGACACTTAAACGTGTAAAAAGAACGTAATACAAAGATTAGAGTGAACTACCGTTATAAAGTTATACCGCTTTAAAAAATCGGTTTTCTTGAATATACTCACGCGACACGTAACCAAAGCATTGTGTCGTCCGAATAAACTCTGTTGCTAACGCGGAACATCGTCACGAACTCGATTAGGCAGTTTTATTGAGTGTGTCTGATGTGATATTCCGTAATAAGGCTTGGATCAAATTCCGCAACAAAGCAATTTCTGTAACTTGATCATAGCGTAATCTCGAGAGTTAGACCTAATTTTGTACATGAACTTAAAACATCGCGTCTTTGATTTTCTTTGACAATATACTGTACTTCGAGGCTTTTAACAGAAGTCTAGGAAATCAATATCCGAGGCGTGCAAATACTATTGCGAGTCAATCCAATTTGACGTAATGAAAACATAAAGCTGTAAAGATTAACGTAATCGCGCCTTGAAATTTTGACTATTGCATGATTAAGCCAGCGAGATTAAATTTAACTTTATACTGTGCATGTCATTTTCTTTAAATACAACTTCTTTTTAGCCATTATTTGGCATTTTCACATTTGATAAAAAACCGAAAATTTTTTTTTATAGAAATGGTGCATAAACTTTCACTTGTATATTTCCTGTTTATCACTTTAACCTTTATTGCTTTTGGCAATTTACTAGTTGTTTCATACAAAATTAACACTGAAATTAATGCCTCGCAAAATAAAGAAGAACTTGATCTCCCTCCATTAGACAAAGTTCTTGATAAAGTCACATCTCCGGTGAAAAAACTTCTCGAAGATCTTCCGAAGAAAATTTTAGACACTGACTCTCAAGATTCATTACCATCCGTCTAAACTGCCAACGTCGGATATGCGAGGATAAACTAAAATAGTTACACGTTAAGTCTTCGGTAATTTTGCTAAGTCATCTCTTGCAATTTTATGAGAGGGAAATGGCTGATAAAAAAAAAAAACAGTATATGTATGTATGTATACATGAGAAATATTGTGGTTTTAGTTCAGTCTTGTTAGAGTGACAATGAAGGTGGACAGTATAATTAAACTTCTTAATATTTGAAATAATCAAGGATTTTTTCGAAATTTTTGATAGTTGATATTATTTTTACATAATATAAATAAAAAGAAATACGTACAGTATATTGATTTTAAAATCTAAATTTTTTATTGTATATAATACTATACAATGTGATTCAAAAAATTTTGAAATCAATTTTAACATAAATCAAAAATGTTTAATAAAAATAGACATTAACCATTCAACATCTTTAGCATGTAAACACCTACTTGGTGACAATATGTGTTAATTGTATATGTTGTAATAAGTGGTAATTAATTTATAAATAACTTGGGTATAAGATTATTGATGTAATAATATTAAATCAAAGTTTAATATATGTTTTTGCTTTTAATGCCTGTTTATAATATAAAAAAAAATTTTTTTAATAAAACAATTATATAGATTATTTAGTTATAATTACGAATGATTTATTTTAATAAGTAAAATCAATTTAAAAAGGCTTTATAGATTTTTTTTTCTTATAAAATATTAAAATTTTTAATGTTTTAAAATATAAATTGAATATAGACTAATAACTTAAATTAAATTATTTGTATAATTTTTTAAATTTTTTTAAATTTATTTATAATATATATAAAAATATATATAAATAACAAAATAAACAATAAAATAGTTTTTTATTTAGTCACTTATTAAATTTTTTAATAAATTTATTTATCTTATATTATATTTTAAATGTTTTTTTTTTGATATTATATAATTAGTAATTATAACATAATAACAGAATTGTTAATTCATCTCAACAACAATAAATAAACTATTAAAACAATATAATGGTTTCAATATTAAAAACATAAAGATTATATAAATTTATAAAATCATTAATAAGTATTTTAATATTTAAAAATATATATACCTTTAATATAATAACTTACAGTATAATATTATTGTTTTTAATTAAAATATTAATAAATATTATATATTAACATATAAGTTAATTAAAAAAAATTATAATTAAAAATATAACTTTAAATCAAAGTGCAAAATACAATTCAAATGTTTTTGATTATTTAAAAAGTTTTTTAAAATATAAGCTTAAAAAAAATTTTCTTGTATGAAAATCTAGACTATTTAACATGTATAAGTAATTTCTTGATTATCTCTTTATTAAAGTAATACTTAATTGATTAAAATTTTTCAAATATATATACTGTATATAACTAGTAATACTTTATTTATTAAATAATTTTAAAAACTACTTTAATTATTTTTGAATAGGTTTATTCTCTATATTTTTAAAAGTTGCATATTTAAATTTTTATTTTAATTGATTATTCATTTAAAACCTTTTTAAACAAACTGTGAATACTGTATGTCAAATAATTAAATATTGTAATTTGTGTAAAAATTTTGATGGACGACTAATTAATGGTAACAATTGCATATCTAAAGTTTTTCCATTGATCGATAATTTTATACTTATTTGAAAGTTTTTTTATCAGAAATATCTATCAATTATATTATTATATATTTACGATTTCGCTAAAGCAGCAAACCCGCACCGATTATTTCAACTTGCTTAATCGCAGACACTCTACATACAGCTAAACGTCTGATACCTCGGAACTTTGTTTCAGGTGTTTTTTCAGGAAAGATGTTCTTTGAAATACGATTTCCATGACACTCCTATTGCATTCCAAAAAGATTGATATTGAAAAATGCTGTACCAACAACCCATGAGGATGAAGTTATGCGCCTGCCCATTTTGATCACCAGTGTTCTTTTTCCATACATAAATTCGATACTTTCTTACTTTTCTTACTAACAATAAATTAAACCTCCGTTTTATCACGACTTACGTTTCTAAACACATTTGACAGGAAAAAAAAATTCATTCACTCTCAAAAAAACACGACAAATAGTTGGAATTAAAAAATCTAAATAACGCATAAATTTCTAGCTTTATACATACTTTTATGTGTATGAAAGCAGTTCATAGTTTAATAACAGAATTATACTGTATAACTGCCCTCAATATAAGAGCCTTCCTCCAAATAGAATTGATCAAGAAGCATAAGAACGACCATGATTACTGTATGCGTATCCTCTTTACTATAGAATTGTTAGAATGAAACTTTTGACAACAGAATTATTGACGAATAAATTTAACACCGATTATAACTATACCTATTATTGACCGAATTGAAGTTTATGTATTGGTCGACCTGATCTTCAAGATGTTAGTTAACGCCCGAACTCTAAAATTCATTAAGTTCCATATCAAGTTTCGGAAAATTGTGATGGGAATTACCGAATTATGAGAGACGGTATCGAGCTTTTCCTTATAAAAGGACTTTAAATTATTTACGCTTTAAGCTAAGTTCCTTTGATCAAATAAACAAAACTTCCAAGAATTTGCGATCATGTCTTTATTGCGCAATCGAATTGAGTCTGATTCTTGTCAAAAAGATCTTGCCAAAATCCTCTCCATCAGTAAAACAACCACTATTTCCACTACAAAAAGAACATGGTCTTTTGTAAGATCCTTGTATTGTTTATGTTGTCAACATTTTTTGAACAGGTTA